TTTCCTTATACTTAAACTGTTTTATTAAACTTATGCCTTCAAATTGTTTTATAGATTGACACCAAGTCGATCTTTTCTTAAAATAATACTTATATTTCAAATGTCTTACAAATATTATTTATGCTTTTATATTATAAATTGCATGCCTCTATATGTATACTTATATAAGAAATGTTTAAAAGACTTAGGAAGGCTATCCACCCTATTTCCTTTTCGCGCCTTGAGATGTGGTCTGGTGGGATTTTGGGTATTCGTCCGAAGGTTGTTTAAATATTAGTTATATATCATGTACACATATATAGTCATAAAAGGTCCTTCCAGTTCATCCTATGCCCTTGGGTAGCAAGGGTATACATCCATGTCCATACGTACACTTAGATTACTAGAAAGCTACCATATGGGTAGTTCAGGAAGATACTAGAACCATTGCTAGAACGCGATATCATTCAATGAGTCAGTTCATTCATGAGTCAATACTTTCTAGAACTTTTCAGTACATTACATATACAGCTATACTAGGACGAGAACATATACAACTATACTAGAATGATTACATTACTATACTTGCTAGATAGAGAGAACACACATTACAGCTAGCACACGTAGAACATTATAGTACACTACTGTACTATTACATGATCGCTCTTACTTGAGTACAATTACATGATCACACTTACATATACATAGAACAGACGTCATTAGGTGCTATAGCACGGAACCAGTTCAGGATCTAACTATACTGATGAATCACACCACAATTGTGATAGTTATATCGAGTATACATGATCATTCGGTAATGTGGATGCTCACGGCTTGCGTTCATGCAGGGGTCGTGGGTAGGTCCCAAAATCCCTTTGATAGGGGAGCGTATAGTCTGGGATCTAGACATCACATTATACCTTATCCCTCAAATAAGGCAGTTGAGTACCGATGTAGTTATTTTTATTAAATACTACAGTACTTGGAAGTATTACCCTAGATTTAAGGTAATAAGTACGGTTGTAGTTGGACACTACACCATAGTACTACATTGATTTTCCATTACATATTTTAGTGATAACCTCACTTAAACATTATGTACAAACTATATTTTTGAATAATGATAGTTATACTTTGGAAAATACATCCTCTTACAAGAGACACACACATTCAGAACAGTTAGGTCTTGGTAGAAGACTACATTCAGAACAGTTAGGTCTTGGTAGAAGACTCCTTTTGTTATTAATAGGAATCATAGGGATTCTAGGGTTTTTCAAACACTTACAGTTCATATACACTTTCAATACTTTTAAGTACATATACTTACATTTTCTCACATACAAATTAAGACACTAAATACTTATGATCTCACCAACTTTAAAGCTGATACTCGCTTTCAAAATTACTTGTATCCTCAGGTCATCATAGACAGGTACCGATGCAAGGAGAAAGGAAGATGGAGCTTGTTCAAGACTTATCTTTCATTTTGATTTATGCTTTAGTGTTTATCAAAATTTGACAGAACACATTTGTATAATAATTATATTATTAATGCAATGGATGATGTTGTTGTTTGTTTACTACTTTACATTGTTGTTAATATTATACATGACGTCCTCCGCCCCAGAACGTTTCCGCCGTTCCTGGTTTTGGGGTGTGACACCACATCTAAGACACCTAGATGTAACAGCACGATAAGTACCCTCGTACATTTTCCCGTACTTTCCAAAACAACCGCGACTCCTTAGACCAGCTAAGCAAGTATCAATAGTCTTGAACCTCTTAGTAATTGGTGATGACAAGACATGCACCTACTCTCTCGTCCTTGTTTGGCCTCTAACATGGACTCTAAAATTATGTACTTCATCTCCATCGGGGACGCATTCTCCTCCCTAGATCGGATCAACAACTCCTATTATGTCATGGTCTCCATGTTATCCATAATAATAGAATAGGCAATCAAATCCTAAACAATCCATTGTTTCATGACATAAAAGTCCATAGCGAGCCATATATTTGCCTTATTGGGGAAAAAATTAGTGTGGAAGGCACCTTCCATCTCCTTTATCCAACGCATATTAATAAGTCGATACTTTATCCCCCTCTAATATGGGACGCTATATGCAACCATGTCATAACAAGTCACATCCCTATCCATCAACTGTCCAACCCCCATAGTGGCTACAATCCTCTCGTCATTCATCTCGATCATCTCCTCCTTGACACTTATAACTAATGTTAGTATCACCTCGAACATGCAATGTCGTTACTCTCACCATTTTTGTTCTTTTTAAAACATCATTTAATGTTAAATTGCAATTGAAGACTTTATTAAAACGTTTAACAATCACCAACATTGCATAAAAACAACCATGTCCAACATCATAAGTAAAAAGAGTGTTTTAAAACCTAAGAAACCAACATGACATGACCAAGTGGTACCAATACTAAAAGATGCTAACTACCTAAGAGTGCAACCCAAACTCACCAAACCTCACTCCTTAGCTATCTATACCACTAGGGGTGCAAACAAGCCAAGCTACTCGTGAGCTACTCAAGATGGACTCGTTAAAATCTTGACTAGAGACCGATTTTAATCGAGTCTGATCCAAGTTCGCGGGTACTCGTGAGCTACTCAAGATGGACTCGTTAAAACCTTGTATTCCCCTCCCCCATTTTTATCTCTATATTTTCAGAGTCATGGTCAGCAACAATGATGTGTACAACCCATTTATTAGCCTTAAGTTCGTTCAACGACGTCATACTAAAAAATTGAAGGAGCGAGGAGGGTTGAACGGATATAGAATACTAAATCCATAGTAGAGAGGCCTAAGGGGATGTTGTTAGAGGGGTGTTGTCGTATAGTGTGCTTATGGCCCATTTTAAAATGTTGTAGTTGGTTGCTACAATGTTAGCCGAGGAGATCAGCAATGGGTTTGTCCAGTGAAGATGCAATTAAGCATGGGCAAGGTGAAGGAGATTAGCCCGTGATCTAGGCGGATGTGAAGTTATCACACAAGCAAGAGTTGACACATAAATATCATCATGTTGAGGTTGCAGTTCACCGGTCGAATGTGGTGAGCAATGTTGATTATTTTAGCAATCGTTGCTGCATCCGTTACGACGTTTATTGCTACAATTTGTCCCTTAATACATTGGTGCGAAGAAATGTAGGTGATGATGCATTTTTTGTGTGAGGAGAAAGGATGGGATCTAAAATCGAAACATCATTTGTTCATCAAGTAATATAATGAAATGAGTCTCCCAAAACCTTTGGAGCGTGTATCAATTATTGGGGGGAGGGGGGTGTCAAAGTTATGAAGCAAATCTACCATAGACTTGATTTTGGTGTAACCTTATGTAGCTGATATATCTCCCATGGTAATGGTTTGTAGTTCACTATAAAGTTGTATTGTTTTTTGTATCCTCGTTGCCCATAACAGTTTTTTGTCAATTAAATCCATATTTATGGCTACTTGACTCTTTTTAGAGTATCGTACATAAATCTAAACATTGATTAAAAAAAATTGATCTTCGTCTATTCCAGTTCACTTGGTTTAGGGATAGAATCGTCACAGGTAGAGCAACCATGTGACCGGCTACATCATAATTTAATATTTGTGATGTTGCATGCTTTCTAAAGAGGGTCAATTTGGTCTTCATGTGCAAAGGGGTGTTGAGAGAGAGAGAGAGAGAGAGAGAGAGAGAGAGAGAGAGAGAGAGAGAGAGAGAGAGAGAGAGAGAGAGAGAGAGATTCGCTTAGATGTCATGATAAACGATATATTTCAATAATTTTGATGAGAGGAAAACATTACATATTATATACAACCGTTGATAACCAAATTAATTAAAAATTAATTGGCCTAACGGTAACAAATAACACTTTCAAAATGAAAGTTCATGAGTTCAAGTCTTACCAAAGACATAAATCATTATGAGTAGATTGGTTGTCATTCCAAAATATAAATAAATATAGATGACAGCCCATGAGCCGAAGCCAATAATACAAGTTAGAACATTAATAAATCGGAATATATACATAGTTTAACAGTTTTTCTTGTCATATTAAGTATTATAACAAGTATTATTGGTATATTAATAGCAACACTCAATTCATATATATGGATTTTCTACTTGACGAATTGGATGATTTTGACACACAAACTGAACTTCAGACTTTATTTCGCTTTAAATATGTGACCTTCCATGAAAAAAATAATAGAGACATGCATATTGACTCAGAGTGGGGCCGATACTCGATCATTAACTATTATTTTGGAAATGAATACATGTTAGCATGTATGATTTGAGATCACTGGACACATGAACATGCATGTGTCGTCCAGACTAATATCCTCCCAATTATTTTGAATCTTCAGCCTGTAAAAGATGCTACATTTATATTGTTTTGCTTCTATTATATTATCGTCCACTTATTTATAATTTAACTCGTTAAATTTATAAATTTAATGTACCAAAAAGAATATCTTGAACAACTTAACGTGGTTTGTTGATTTAAGCAGTCCAACTATCTCAAGAATATTAGTGATTTATATATATAAAAACTTACTTATAACCAATGATACAATTAATTACTATAACCAGGAATGACTAATTTAGCATATCCAGATTTATTTTGTTTTTCTAAATGATTTCATTTAACTAAAATTCTGCGAATGCATATAATTCGATTTTAGAAAGTAAAGTTTAATAGTCATTTTAGAAATTAAAGTTTAATTGGAAGAGAAAAATATATAAAAATAACATGTTCACTATCATTTTCTTAATAGGAATAAAATCTGAATAAATCTATTAAATAGAGACAAAATATTAATTGCATGAAACGTACACAAAAATCCAATTTTGAATTATTATAATAAAGATTGGTCGATCATAATGTTTTTCAGGGAGCAAGTTGGTAATGATAATCAATTAGAAAGAGAAATTTTGATCTACATATTATTGGGTTTTGTGATCCTTATAATTCATGGAAAAGTTTGGAAGATAGTCCGAGAGAAATAATGGGGAAGGCAAGAAAATGGATCAAGAATTTGTTGGCCGGAAGAAAAGACAAACAAGCCGTCGATGCAACCCAAACACCACCCACTTCCGTCGCACCGGCAACTCCTAAGGAGAAACGTAGATGGAGCTTCCGGCGGTCATCCGCCACAGCTCCCACAAGCACAACCACCAACTCCATAGACGTAATCTCCTCTGCACCACCATCGTCATTAGTACATGAAGCAGAAAATTACGAGCAGAAGAAGCATGCTCTGGAGATGGCCTTTGTCGCTGCAGCTACTGCAAATGCAGCAGCCACAGCCATAATTGTCAAGCACACTGCTGCCACAAAGATTCAATCCGTTTTCAGGTCCTACTTGGCAAGAAAGGCTTTGTACGCTTTGAAAGGATTAGTGAAGCTCCAGGCGCTGGTGAGGGGTCACTTGGTACGGAAACGGGCGACTGCGACGCTCCGGTGTATGCAAGCGTTGGTAACAGTTCAGGCCCGAGCTTGTGCCCGACGAAGGCGCAGTAACGATGGAGTTGACTCTTATAACTACGGGTGGCCGGACTCTGAACTTTATCAGGGTTTCAGAACTCCGGACGTATCCGAAGAGCACATCAAAATCGTAGAAATGGACACGAGAAGTACTAGAAAGAGTTACTCCAAAGAACGAGTCTCCATGCACTTCTCGCCTGCACCATCGGAGCCAAGTCCGAGGGCTTACTTACGTCACTTTGAGGAATTTAGATTGGCGTCCGCTCAAGGTAGCCCTACCATGAAACCTGATTATGCCGAATCACTCTACGAATTCCCAAGTTACATGGCGAACACAGAATCATCGAGAGCAAAAGCACGATCCCACAGCGCACCGAAGCAGCGACCGGCTGATTTTAGTTCTGTGTATGAGAGACAGTCTTCTAGCGTCGCTAGACGGAGGCCTTCCATAGAAGGAAGGAACGTCCCAAGAGCTGTCAAGATGCAGCGGTCTTCATCTCATCTGGGTTCGAATCCAGGTGCTCAAAATCACTATCCATGGTCAGTCAAGCTAGACAAGTCAACTGCTTCTCTTATAGGAAGTGAATGCGGGTCAACAAGTACAGTTTTAACCAACATCAATTACTGTCAATCACTCATCGGATTTGATACTTATCGTCGAAACGAATACTGAACGGCTGATCATGTCACGAAGCTATTTGATATATGATCATGCCATACATGCATACCTTTTTAATTTATTTCTTTTCCGATCACTTTCAAGTTCTTTATATAAAGTAGGTGGATTATATATCCAGGTTTTTTAAACCACGAAGTTTAAATGGTCTCTACTTTTATGAAACTCAAAAGAATCTAAATGAAAGTGATGTAAACTACTTGAATACCGTCAAGTTATTGGATTTTAAATATTTAAATAGTGTGATTTTTCAATGTTTAAGAGTGTTACTGTATCAAATTTTTTTGACATTAATGAGCGTTCAACATGCCATCGATCGCAAATGCATTGTTAGGGTATAAATTTTGTTTTGGACCACAAGAACTTTTACAATAAAATGGTAGCGAGAGTCAATGGTACGTTTTGTAAAACTCGCAAATAGCTTATAGCTGATATCATTTTGTTATACGTTACGTGAGGTGGTTTTTAAATGTAGAAAGTTTTATATAAACTAAACACTTACGTGAGGTGGTTTTTAAATGTAGAAAGTTTTATATAAACTAAACACTAATAGTTTGTAATGTCAAACGATATTTTTTGTTTAAAAAGTAGCATGTTATAAAACATTAAAAGCTAAAAACACTAAAACTTTCATGTCAAACACATCCTAAAATAAAAATTAGAGATCTATTTATGACTATGATCACAGGCGACAGAGTTTGACCTGACCACTAGCCAAAACCGAGCAATTCTTCACATTAAAGTTAAAAGGCTTTCTGGTGATTCTAGATGATTTAAATTTTCTTTCTCTCTCTTTCTCTCTCTCTCTCTCTCTCTATATATATATAATATATATATATATATATATATATATATATATATATATATATATATATATATATATATATATACTAATTGTGAGATCCGTATATTATATGGGTTGGAAAAAAACAAAAAAAATAAATATGAAGGTTTAAACAAAAAATTATCTAAATTCGAAATTTTAGATTTGAAATTTAATATTTAAAATTTGAATTTAAATGGAAACGCATTAAATACTATATGAGTTGTAATATTTTAATTTATTGGTTATTTTCAATTAAGTAAATTATTAATTGAGGTGTAAATATGAGGTATTAATTAAAAAAAGATAAAAACAAATGAGAAAATGACAAATGGAAAAAACATTTATTCAAAAATACCAAAAAATGACATGTGTCCAAGTTAATGAGAGAATGACATGTGGCAAAATTATTTTCATTTATTAGAGAGGATATATATATATATATATATATATATATATATATATATATATATATATATATATATATATATATATATATATATATATATATATATATATATAGAGAGAGAGAGAGAGAGAGAGAAAGAGATTCTAAAAAACAATAGATATTTTAAAATTCAATCTCAGTTACACATTTCTTATCTACCGCTCTAACGATTTAGCAAACCGATGTGACGGAGAAGGTATAATCATAGGCCTAATCATAAATGATAATAGATGTTTATACTTATATGATTATATATATTTAAATATATATGTGTAATTATAAATGATTATAAATATATCACAACAAAAAAAACGACACTATAGCGACGACAAAAATTGTCGGAATTAATACCCAAAATCATCGCTAAAGGTATTAGCGACGACAAATTGTCGCAAAAGGGTTGCCGCTATTACTTTGTAGCTAATACTCATAAAATGTCAATATTAGGGTCGTTTGTAATAAGTGTCGTCGCTAAAAACCAAGGTCATCGCAATTCCAACCAGTCCGAGTTTTTCCGGCCAAGGTTACCTGAGATGCATGTCTTCACAAAAGTTCTTGTCACTAATTCATTATTATTTTTTATAATAAAATTTATATTTTATATTAGTTTTGTATTAAAAAATGTAGAAATTTCAAAAATACACAAACTATAATCTAGAAATTTACATTACATAAACCATCAAAACATAAACAAAATACACTATATTACATAAACGATCTTTTCCAATTGATAAACGATCTAATAAACAATCTAATCCAATCCATAAATTATCTAATAAATTTATAATAACATCATCCATAACATAAAACAAGAAATACTGGATGTCTTCCCCATCGTCGTTTTCCGCATCATCGTTGCTTGCATTGTTGACATAGTTTTTGAATGAACGGATAATATATCCAAGTGTCGTCACAAACGCCGTAGAAAAGCGTTAAAATTCACACCCTAAAAAGTAAGTATATAAGTTAAAATGATCAAACTAAGAAAAAAAAAACAAATTATTACTTAACAATTAAGTCATTGACACGTTAAGTAATTAACAATTTAACAAACTACCAAACTACCAAATTCATAACAAATGAATTATGCACCAAACAAATAAGCAAAGTACCAGACTACCAAAATTTACAATAAAATGCATCAAGTCCTTAACAATATACCAAGCTACCTAACACCTTCGAGCACCTAATTCGAGCACCTAACACCTTCTTAAATATACCAAAGTATTTGATGACTTTCGCATGTCACCTTCTAGCACCTAACACCTTCTCAAATATAGCTATCTAATCAATGGAGCTCGAATCACCACTGGAAGAGGTTATGAGTTGAGTTTGTAAAGAAAGCTCACAATTTAAAGTATTATGTATTTCAAAATGATTATTAATATACTTCAAAACTAACGAAAAAAACCAACAATCTACTTCACTTTTAAGTAATTGGTCAACGAATTCCCCTTATTTATTAACTAAAGATTATGCTAACGGTCGTATCCCAGTGCAAGTGCAAGGTCCAGGACTTTGCCCTCACGGCCTCGCACTTAGACACCGGTGCCCTAATGCCAATGTGTAATTCATAACGAGAAACTTCAGCCTATAATAAGTTAAAATAGTACTAACCGCTTCCTAGAGCGACAAGTGTAGCACTCAGATCACTGTTCATTGTTCACTGGTAGTTCTGCACTAACAGCAGATAACTGCTACTGGTGAATGATCCATCAATGGGACGCCTCCACGTCCTGTCGACCCAGACAAGACAAAATGTATTGTCGAGGACATGCTCCTACGACGACAAGTAACAAAAAAAACCCTTCCTCTTCAGAAGGAAGGATCGCCTCACTCTCTATAGCATAACTAAACCTAATTACATCGAACAACTAACTAGATCGTTGGAGCTTCGTTTCAGGACCACCTTTCGGACGACGACTAACTTCAGTTTTTTCTTTGTTGTGATCCGTATACTTAACTCAAACGAAACCCTTCCTAGACAGTGTTAAGCATGGAGCATATATCACATCATCCAGTGCTATCCGTGGAACCCGAACCTACGACCACGTAGTCGGAGAAAGTAGCCTTGCGGGGATAGCCATAACCGACCAAGTTACGATTCACCCATAACCACTTATCTTGCCGATTCTTCTTGGGTGCCTTCTGGTTAATGATGAACGCATGGATGCCCTGTCGCTGAGAGATAGTATTAACGCCAGATTGGGTGGAGGAGTTAAAATAGTAGTTAAAAGTCCGACACTGAGGAAGCACTCCTAGATCTCGACATGCCGTTTCAAAACTGACCATCTTTTTTACAGCATTGGGAGTCATATTATTCACATAAAAATTGTATTGATGCATAATGCCATCATAAAAGTCGTTCGTTAGCTGCCTCGAACCTGCCACAGAGATCAGGAGAGGAACCCTGACCTTACCCTCAAGCGGACGAGAAATAATCACCCCATTCCTAGGATATTGTAAACCGTGCTCGGGCAAAAAGCTGAATCGGGCATGACAAGCCTCGAACTCACTCGATGTTAGCTCAATTCTGGTAGTTGGTTTCGCCATTGATTCTGATATACAAGAATTAGATGAAAGAAAGGATAAGCAAAGAAAATACAGAGGAAATTGAAGATGTTGGATTAGGTGTCTAATCCAATAACTGAATTAGTATATACTTGAATTATTAGCAAAGTCCTTTTAGGTTGCCCTCAAATATCACAATTGAATAGGATGATTTTTAGATTAACTAAATAAGGAAAGAGCTGAAGTGTAATTGTTCAATAGTTAAACAAATTAGGGTTCTAGAACCTTCCTTGGAAGGGTAGACAAAATTAGGGATATTCCAAGGTTTCTGTAATATTCTTTATATATAAATAAGAACCTAAATAATTACCAATTTGATTTAATATTATTTTAATCATATTAGGGTTATATAGGGTTTCCTAAATCCATTATATAAAGACCCCTCATCCTATGATTTGCGGCCATCTCCTTATTCCATAGTCACTACTCCTCCATTCAGGGTAAAGACCCATCCTGACTGAGAACGATAGTTGTCTCAGTCTGTCTGAAAAATGGCGTCATTGTACCCTCGCACCTTTAAGTCATCACTCCCACCGAGGACTAGAAACTATTCCTTGGTCCTCCGAATGTACTTAAGAATATTCTTGATTGCGGTCCAATGTGTTTTCCTAGGGTTCCTTTGATATCTGCTAACCATGCTCAAAGAGAAGGTCACATCAGGGAGAGTACAAGTAATAGCTTACATAATCGAGCCAACTATGGAAGTGTAAGGTACTCGGCTCATCTCTGTTATCTCGACTTCGGTACTCTTACTTTGAGTCTTACTTAACTTGGCATTACTTTGGATTGCTAACTCCTCCTTCTTGGAATTCTCCATACTAAAACGCTTTAGTACCTTGTCTAAGTAAGTGTTTTGACTAAGCCCTTATAGTCTTTTACTCCTGTTTCTCACTATCATTATTCTCAGAATATAGACAGTTTCTCCGAAGTCCTTCATAGTGAAACACTTCACAAGCCAGGACTTGACTTCCTGCAGGGTCGGGATGTCATTTCCTATGAGTAGTATGTCATCGACATACAATATGAGGAAGCTAACTACACTCCCACTGGCTTTGACATATACACATGAATCATTCTCGCTTCGCAGAAGACCAAACTCTTTGACTTTCTCATCAAAACAAAGATTCCATCTGCGAGATGCTTGTTTCAGTCCAT